TAAGACCTGCTTCCCCCATCCTTGATCTTCATGATCCCAATCTTGCTTCTCATGTCTTCAAACTTGGCCTTGCCTAAGGCCTTAGTCGAGAATATCCGCGATTGATCATTTGTGGCGACAAACTCGATCTTGATGCTTGCCTTCTTCAACACAATCTCCGGATGAAGTGTTGTTTGATTACGATATGCTTGCTTCTTCTCATGAAAGATGGGGTTCTTTGCAAGTGCTATTGCAGGTCGGTTGTCAACCCTCGGTTCCACAGGTCTCCACCTTTCTTCCCAACAAGTCACCCAACAATCTTGGCGAACCACAGGGGCTTGTGTTGTTTGCTGAAGTCATAGCCACATATTCAGCCTCACAACTAGACAAAGCCACCACCCTACGCTTGATAGATTGCCACCGACCAAGTTGTTGCCAAAAAGAACAGACAACTGTTGTGCTTTTTTTGGAGTCAATATCACCGGCTAGGTGCGAATCACAATAGCCCACAAACCTAGCAAATTTGGGGCTCTTTTGAACTGCAGACCATAGTCCAATGTTCCAACCAAGTACCTCGGCACCCTCTTGACCGCTTGTTTGTGCTTTCTCGATGGTCGGTTTCTCCAAGAATCTGCTCACATAGCCCAATCGAGAAAGCCAAATCGGCCTGTATGAACCAGGTATCTCAAGCTTCCAACCACCTCCTATCTTTGAGTTGGATTCACCTCCTTGGCGATTGCTATGCTTGCGAGCTTGAGCGCTCTTCCATTGGTGTAGGCTATTTGGATTGCAATCGGACATGCTTCCAGTTCTAGGATTTTCTTGGCATAGTGAGTCCGCCTCATGGTGATCCCATTCTTGCCTTTGTCGCACTTCAATGCCAAGGTAGAAACCGAGCAAACCCAAGTCACTCATCTCAAAGGTGGATTTCATCCTTTCCTTGAAAGCCTTTACTTCATCTTTGATCGCTCCAAATGATGATCGATCATCAACATAGACCCCAACCAAAGCAACACCGAGCCCTCTGAACCTTTCCTCAGAGATTGTTTGCTTCATGTTTGCTCTGTTTGAACCCCATTTCCTTGAGTAGAGAGTCCAACTTAGCGTTCCATACCTGGTGCCTACTTGACCCATATACAAAGCTTTGTGCAAAGGAGCGATATACCTTGCTTTCTTCCCCAGAATAGCAAACCCAGTGTGGTCACTTTGGACATATACTTCTTCCTTGAGCTCTCCATTTAGAAAAGTGACTTGACATCCATATGATGGACAGTCCATCCTTCTGGGCAGCTAGAGCAAGCAAAGGTCTCACTTGATTCTATGCGCATAGCAACAGAGCGAACACATCCTCATAATCAACACCCTCTTCTTTGCACAAACCCACGAGCAACAAGCCGAGCCTTGTGCTTGATCACATCTCCTTTCTCATCTTTCTTTAGCTTGTAGACCCATTTTAGAGAAATTGGCCGATGGCCACTCGGGGAGACACAAGCTCCCGTGTGCCATTATACTCAACAACAAGACTCCTCTTTCATTCTTTGCCATGCGCAGATCATCTTTGCCTCAGATAAGAAATGGGTTCCCAGTGGGTGAGGTGGAGCTCATGAACAAGCGGCTGCACGGCCGGCCAGAACTTCCTGCTCCCCGCCAATATGCCATCTATGGTACGATAAGCGCACTTTGCTAAATGCAGTGATAAGTATCCAAATTCCTCATCATCTTCCAAGGGAGTCACGTGCTCCACTTGTGGGTCGGGCTGGAGCTGGTGATGGTGAAGGCGTTACGGATGTCTCGGACACCTCTTCTCTGTAGTATCAAGCACCGATTCTCTGTCATTGAAGGCTTGGTGAGGCGCGAATGGGGTGAGGAGATGAGTGTGACTGCCTCTGAACCTCCAGCCTCGAGGACTTCTTCCTCCCAAGGAAATTCCACCACAAAATCACTACCAATTTGCCCCAGACGTACTCTCTTCTGGTGATGTCCAATCCCAACCTCTTCCTTCATCAAAAACCACATCTCGGTGACACGACATCGCCGAGATCTTTGGATCAAAACTTCGATAGGCTTTTGCTCCTTCAAAGATAGCCAATAAATACTCCAACTTCACCACGATCATCAAGTTTCTGAAATGAGACAAACGGCGAGTATATGCCACACAACCAAACACCTTCGGATGGCCAACAAGTGGGTGCTCGGCCATGCCATGCTTCATAGGGAGTGATATCACCTAGAGCCTTGGTTGGTGACCGATTTCGAATATGCACGGCTAGTCATCACCGCCTCCCCCAAAACTTGGTGGCATCTGGCGCCGCTTGAGTAAGGCACGTGCCATGGCCACCACGGTTTGATTTCTACGCTCCACCACGCCATTCTGCATGGTGAATGAGGAGCACCATAATGCCTTTTGACTCCTTCATTGGCACAATAAGCGAGAAATTCTCAGCAATAAGAACTCTCCTCCATTATCTCATGCGCAGAACTTTCGGTTTCGCCCACTCTCCACCTCTGCAGCAGCCTTCACCTTCTTGATAGCATCTGCTGCAGCATCATCCTTAGATGACAAGACGCCCCCCATGAATCGTGGTGGCATCATCTACAAGCGCAGAATATAGCGATTACTGCCAAAGTTGCTTTGGTGTAATCGGCCCACGAGATCACCATGCACCAATTCAAGGTGATCCCGAGCACGATATGTTGTTTGCAGCAGAAATGATCGCCTCCTCTGCTTGGTGGTGACACAAGTGTCACACACTTGCTCAACATGATCGATCTTTGGCATCCCTCTTGCCATTTCCTCCTTGCCAAGCCTCCATGAGGCCTCAAAATTCGGATGCCCAAAACGCTCATGCCATTTCCACGCTTCCTCATCCTCGCAGGCAGAAGACACACCGGTTGTCTTTGTCTTCATATGCAAGATACAATGGGCAGTCGGTTCAAGGCCACGCCTCACCTTGGCCAAGATGGCGACCAACTGCTGCGTTCCCAATCCGCAGTACTCCATCATCAATCACCACCTTTGAGCCATTCTCATCAAGTTGACCGAGGCTCATGATCGAGTTCTTCAACGCCGGAATGAAATAAACTCCATGAAGAACACGATGCTCACCAGTCTTTGCTTCAAAAACAATTGAGCCAACGCCCTTGATTTCCACCTTGGGCGCGTCCCCGAACAACTGCGCCTCGAACGTCCGTGTTCAGTGTCTCAAAAAAAAGTCACGCCGCCCAAATCATGTGGTGTGTTGCGCTGAATCAAGGTACCACCGCCCACCATCTCTTCATCATCTACTTCCCCGATAAGCACACGCCGCGGCTCAAAGAACTCAACGCTACAGCAAGCAGATAGTTGAGCTCGGCGTGCTCTGTTCCATCTCAATGAAGCCGTGAGAGAGAACAGAAATGCATCTTCCTCACACTTTCAAAGAAAAGCTGAGCACACGCCTTCATGTCCTCCTTGTTGCCCCAAATTAATTACACCGCCACGGCCTCCTCCACGGTTTCCGCCGCCACGTCCACCATGATTTCCTCCCGCCGCCAGCTCTGTTCCATCACGGCACGGTGAGGGACATTCACGCGCCCAATGCCCTTCCCCGATGGCGGTTGAGACACGTGTTAGGGCCAACACGGCCGGCGCGCCATTGTTTTCTCCACGTCTGCCAGGCCAAAGACACCTCTGCCCGTCAAGTCCACCTCCGCATGTAATGGTCCTCCGCCACCGCCATGGCGGTTCTTGAAACTAGAACCGCCAAATTCTTCTTCGCACCTTTCTTCTCCTTCCTCAACGCGTGCCATCGCTTCCTCGATGTGCTGAGCTTTTTGCCGTTGATGGACACCGGCTCTGTCACAGCTTGCGCTTCACGGTCGTCCACCGCCTTGAGCCTTCCTGTCACCTCTTCAAGCGTGAGCGCCTCGAAGTCGAGGAACTGCTCAATGGCGACGACGATCTGCGCGTACTTGGTCGGCACCGTGCGCAGAAACTTTTCCACAACACGCGCCTCATCGATGTCCCTGTCTCCATGAAGCACCACCGCCTTGTGCGAGTTGATGTACCGTGGGCAAAATCCTCCACCGGCTCGCCAGGCTTGACGTCAATGTTCTCCCACTCCCGACGCAGTCGCTGCAACGTCGCTCGGCGGACCCTGTCCACACCGATACGAGTCGCAGCGATGGCATCCCATGCCTCTTTTGCCGTCGCCTTGTCTAGGAGCGGGAGCCCCAACTCCTTGGGCACAGCAGCGACGATCACCTCCAGAGCTCGCCTGTCGTCGCGAAACTGCACTGGGCCTCCTTCGACAGCTTTCCTGGTCGCGCATACAGCATCCCGAGCTTCATCGTCGCTCCACTCATAATAATTGGTCTTGTCCAAGATTGGCCATGATGTGCATTCTGAATCGCGATGAACCACCACGCCTTGCGGCGACTCATAGCGACCGCCGCCACGACGCCTTCTTCACCACGCGAGCAGTATTCGCGAACGGCGCTTTGTCCATGGGCGCCGCAACCGCCATTCCTCCGGTCCTCCTCTTCTTCTTCCTCCTCCTCCTCATCTCCCTTCTCTGCTATCTCCGCTCATGACTCTGCTCCTCCTGCTTGGCCGCACCTCATGATTCTTGCAGCTTTTGTCTTATGACACCTGGCCAGCCGCCGCCTCTCTGCTTGCCTTGGCCCATGGCGTCGTCGCCACCGCCGCCTCGGTGGCTCCTTGGTCTTCCTAGCCCGCGCTTCGAGAGAGGAGGTTGACGTCATGGAGAAGATGAGAAGGTGAGAAGGTGTCTAACTAAGCTCTGGTACCAAATGTTGGAGGTAACAGAGAAATAATCACCAGGCTTACAAACCCAGGCGACTACTCTTTCATATATAGGAGATAAGTAGCACATTGATTACATTGATGGCTCATTAGAGCATTAACTAAACAGCTAACTGCCTGGGTACTTGCACAGTCACTTGTGCTGCCCAAGGCCTTAATAGCAGAAACATAATTAAGCACAGATAACTAAGTGATAACTGGGAGCAGGACTTAACTTCTACAGCTTTGGCACATCTTGGGCAGTGTCACCACCATCCTGCAAGGAATCACATAAAAATGAGTTGTATTTGTCTCTGAAGATCCAGAACAATTGTGCTGTTTCGAACTTCCGCCCTAAAATGTTCTCCATTTTGGTCTAACTCCTATCACTGTAAGCAGAATTACCTCATGGATTGGAATTTCTGGATGGTTGTTTGACTGACTTTGATGCTTCTTTGTCTTTTTGTACTTGCTAATTAATTTAGCATTCTTGTAGAATTCCCTTTGCTTCTCTGCAAATATAGAGCAATGGTTTCATGAAAATATTTGGAAACCTATTAAAATAGTACTGGCAGGAACTCAAATAATTTGACAGAGAACTTTTGAAAACAGGTATGTGTGTATTTAACACCTCCAAGTATTGACTATTGAGGTTTGTCTACTTAACCATTAAATAACCACGACTGCTCTCTCTATCCTTTAATCTTTACTAGCAAAATGTGTCCGTGCGATGCACCTGGAAAAATATAATTACATAGCTCTAACCCAATAAACCTCAATTTATATATTGTATGTAAAATATAGTATAGACTTCAACAGAGGAGATACAAAACTGCACCTTTCCAAATATGTTGTACCTTGCAATTATAATCTGGTAATAATTGGATATCTGATATAAAAGAAAAGAATAGACGTAACTCTCAAACAAGTTAGAGATGAGTAGGACCCGCAACAAATTAGAGATGAGTAGGACCCGCAACATGTTTTAAGCTAATTCCACATTGGTGCAACCGATTCCCCCGATGATGAGAAAAGGCAAGAATACCCAAAGAAGCATTTTGCCAGTACTACAAACTCTTTGTATCCTTTGCACATGAAACTATGAGATAATTATGAATACCCACAAACCCACACTGCGTCCTCTCTATCTGACACGTGGTTTGCCTTCTCCACTGCTCCTTGGAATAAAACTACAGATGCTCTCCATCCTTATCTCTTCTCGTGTCAGCGCATGTGCCATGGACTTGGACGAGCCTTTCCCTCTCCCTCTCCCTCCCTCCCTCTCTCTCCCGTAGTCGAAGATGCGCCATTAGAGAGGACGACACAGCTTGTGAGCTCCAATGCGCAGCGGCTCTCCAGTGGAGAGGTGTTCCAGTGTGCGCGGCAGCGACCAGAGGGGACTACGTCCCCTCGCTGATGCAGCCACCATCACCCTGGCGCCCACTGCTGGACTCCAGAGTAACTCTGGCCACATCCATCCCAGGCACTCTACTTCTAGGCCACCACACGGGATCTAAGACCCTGGTGAACCTCTTCCTGGAACTTTTGCATGGCGACTGCACACTCCACGCCCCCACCGACTTTGACCCGCTGGCGCCACAGGTTGTTCGCACCGTTCACATCTGCAACAGCCAGTCCGCCACGGCACACACCTTATGGAGGCAACAGTTGCTGCGATTAGATTGCCAAATATGTCCTGGACTCTATGCGCGGCTTGGGCGAGCGGGTAGTTGGGCTCACGGATGGAATTTCTGGGTCGAGAATTTTTCTCCTTTTAATATGGACATAAGTTTTGCAATGCTCCATAGCAAAATTGGAATGCATTTCTTCCTCCACAAGGTAAAGTGATCCAAGTATGGATTCGGATTCAATTGGAACCGTTGAGTACATGAAACTAGAGCCCATAAAATGAGGTTTCGATGAGAACTTATTTGGTCTATCTAATCTCTCATGCATCATTCAGTTGTCTAAATTATAACAAAAGAACTACATTAACAAAGGAAGAATGTGTGACCATGTGTACCAATATTCTCGAATCTATCTAAACCTCAGCATGAATGATACGAGTTCAAGTAAATTCAGCCAAATGCCTCGCCGTAAGAGCAGATTAATTGTCAGCTGCGAGCATATTATCATTCTCACGAGCAGATTAATTGTCAGCTGCGAGTATATTATCATTCTCAAATTCCTCTAAATCTCAGAAGTGAATGATATGATTTCAAGTAAATTGAACCGAATGCCTCACCGACACCAGCTGATTAATTGTCAGCTACGATTTATTACTCCGGAAGCCAATGCAATGATCCATGGTAGCAAGTTTACCAGGAAAAAAAAAAAGCAGACCCAAGTGCACACGGCAGCGGTTGCTAGCTAGCTAATCCACGCTCCAAACTGCGGCCAGCAAGCTCAGGAAGGTGGTGATACTCACTGATGAGGGCCGGGTTGTAGCCGGTGTTCCGGGACTTGGCGCTGGCGAAGGCGGCGAGGGAGAGCGCCCCGCCGCCGCCGACGCCCAGCCGCTGCTCGTTCCGCCTCCGACTCCCGCCGCCCCACCTCCCTTTTCCCTTCCCCTTCTTGAACCCTCCGCCGCTTCCGCTTCCGCTCTCGCCGGCCGGAGCGTCGCCGCCGCCGCCGCCGCCGCGAGTGTGTGGTGGCTGCCGCTTCATCTGCGCGTGCAAGAAACCCTAGAGGCGTCGGCGTTCTGGAGCCCAAGCTTGATGGAGCCCGTCGGCTTCCACTTGTTTTCTTGGCAGATCTTGGGCCCTTTGGGTCGGAAAGTGGGCTTTGAGCTATTTAGGCCGAATAGTTGGGCCGTCCTTTCTATGGGTCCGAGCGTTCAGAGATCTGGGCCTCGGCGGCGGCGCACCACACCGCACTTGCCGCGCTCGCCTAGGAGCAGGCGGCGTGGTGGCGGCGCAGTTCGCGACGCGTCGCATCGGGGCGAGGTCAGCGCCGGAGCTCTGATCCCGGCCACGGTCACGTCCCCTTCAGATGGAATGGGATCGGACGGATATGTATGAACCGAGCTCCTCTGTTCCATTTCCCTTTCCCTCTCTATTTCCCTTATCACTGTCCACTTTCGTTGCTTCTACTGTCTGCCCCCTAGAAGTTGTTGCTCCATGTGGATAAGTGAGTAGGTCTTGCGCAGTCATATGCAAAATCAACTGATCGGATGAATGCTGGTGGAGGGATTGAACAATACTGCTTTATGCTAGTAGTAGCAAGTAGATCTTGTTATTGTTGCATGACCCCAGAGACGTTGTTGCCTCTCAAGTGGAAATGCAATTCTGCTAGCAATTTAGTTATTTTTTAGTTGAATTTTGCAATGTATTGTTATTGATCACAATGTAGATCAAAATATGAGTCTAGCGGAACCACTTTTGTGTAACTAAAAGGAAAGGAAAGGGCTCATATAGTTCGCCTAATTATTGGTGAAAACATACAATGTCAGTATCTTCACATATGTGTATCAGAACAGAAATACCCTTAAAACAGTAGGATGTCAATTAGATGATCTTTAGCACCTGGTATGACCAATAATATGTTTAAACAAATTTCATGAAAGGATCAGTACAAATTTAAAGGTTTTACCCATCACAGATATTTGTTGGATAGATACTGTATTAAATTGTCAAAACATCCATATTATGTTTACATGCCGAAACAAGGTTTATTTTTCTCGATAACAATATAACATTGGAGTTTGTGAAAGCCTTGATGATTGCTTGATTTCAGTCTAGCAATACTGGAAGGTACAGGGTGAAATCGATTACGTGTTTATTATTATCCTGCCTTTTTTTCTTTCTATGTGGTATTCTAACATTATATATTTCTGTGATTCACGCTTCATCGGTAGGAATGATGTGAAATGTTTAATCATGTTTTTTTATGCACCATTGTCGGTAGAGATACCAAACTTAACATCTTGCTGCACTGAGTTTGTTAAGTCTGTACAGTAAATTTTGGAGGAGAGGAAGCTAAATCAAACATTACATTGCTTGACTTTCTTGAAATCCCACAATTGATGGACACGTATGCATTTTATCTTACCATTCCCTTGTCTCTTTAGTTCTTGTTTCAGTTGTTTGTTATTGATATACTCATTTACTTTTCAGTAATCCATAGTTTTTTTAGCTGTTGTATTGTTGCTGAATTATGCATGGTAATCAGTAAGCTTATGCTTGTAGGTGTGGAATGGTAACTATGATAAAGCACTTGATCTAGAAGCTTTTTTAAGCAAAACCTCGAAATTGCATCCCGAGTAAGTTGTGTAACATGATTGCTATCGCAGATCTTGACATTTGCTTTTATATTAATCATTTACTCTCTCCGTTCCAAATTATAAGTCGCTTTGACTTTTTTGGTACATCCATTTTGCTATGCATCTAGATATAATAACATGTCTAGATACGTAGCAAAATGAATGAACCAAAAAAGTCAAAGCGACTTATAATTTGGAACGGAGGGAGTACTTTTTCCAATTGAAGTTTATCTGTTGTCCCAGGATTAGCTGCTGAAGTCAAGCAGTACAATCATTAATTTCACAGCTTCTCCAGAAACTTCGATCAAATATTCAGGTGAAGATGCCAGTGTAATAAGGGTTATTTATGACCATTTTGCATTGTAGAGATTATGTTATGTGTGTAGCTTAGTTCTTTGTTATATCTGCTAAAGTTCAGTTTTCATCATGGGCTAACCCTAGAAGGGTAGCAATGTATATTGGTCATACATGGGCCTCATGGGCCTAATACACTCATACTCCAACACCCCTTGAGATCTGAACTACCTATGCAGCGGAGTTCTGATCATGAAAAAGAAGCACACACACGATCCCCCACGAGGCGCAACTAGCCAAATGATGTTGTTGAGGTGGAGCGAAACTTCGGTGAAGGTCGATGACGGAGGCCCTTGGTGAAGATGTCGGCAAAGCTGGGAGGTGGTCGGGACGTGGAGGACCCGAACATCGCCGATGGCAACCCGATCACGGACAAAGTGTAGGGTCGATCTCCACATGCTTGGTCCGTTGGTGCTTTGCAGGGGTTGGTGGAGAGGTACACCAGACTGCGTTGTCGCAGATGAACCAGCGTGCTTTCCGGAGAGAGAGGGCATGGAGCTCGGCAAGGAGGCTGTCGAGAGCGGGAGGCCTCAATACGCCGTTAGCGACATTTCGGTACTCACTCTCGACCTTTGGATCGGAGACCACCGGTGGCGCTTGGGCGACCAGGACACCAGTTTGCCGCCTGTAAAACAAACAGAGCCGGAGGTAGACCGCCGAGTGTCCGGACACCCTTTCGGTCGGCGTCGGTGTAGACAACGAGCTTCGGTGGAGGAAGACCACCAAAGAGTAGGCCGTGGTCGACAGGTCTGCGCGAGGAGGTAGCGGAGGAGGCGCTTGAGCGCAGTGAGGTGAGGCTCTCGGGGATCATGCATGTGAAGGCATATCTGCCAGATCTTGCATAGGTGATGTCGGCCCGGGTGAAGGTGAGGTCTTCAAGGGCACCCGCAAGACTCCGATGGCGATGGGGGTGCCTGCCACGGCGGTTCCCACGACCTCGACGGCTTGCCACAATGTGTCAACTGGAGTAGAGCGAGGCTTGCGATTAGTCATCCCAAAGACGCCTCAGATATCAAGAGTGTACTTGCGTCACCGGTGAAGGAGAAGGCGGGGGGCGAGGCTCAACAAAGACCCCGAGGAAGTGGTGGAGCACACCAAGATCCTTCATAGCAAACTCCTGCATCAAGAGAGGCGATGACACGGTGAGTAAGGACGAATCGGAGGTCAGTGAGGACAATATCATCAACGTGAGCAGCAGATAAGGCGATCTCGGCTCCATGGTGATAGATAAACAGGGGCGACGTGTCGACTTGGCCTCCACAAACCCGATGTCGTGAAAGCGACAAACCGAGAATACCGGGCCGGGGGCTGCTTGAGCCCGTAGAGAGACTTGTTGAGCCGGCAGACCATGTCCCGGACGAGAAGAGTCAACAAACCCATTTGGTGGCGGGCTGCGATGAGCCGTCTCGGTGAGAGTCCCGTGGAGAAAGGCATTTTTGACGTCCGGTGATGCACGGGCCAAGAGCGGCCGAGAGCCGGGAGAGCATTGTCGTGACGACTCCGTGGCTGAAAGTCTCATCGAATCGACTCGTGTTGAAACCCGGAGAACCCAAATGAGCCTTGTACCTCTCAAGGGAACCATCACCCGCCGCTTGTGTGTCCGGATCCACTTACCGGTGACGACGTTGGATCCGGTGGACGGGCACCGATCCCATGTCTCGGGTTGGCGAGGAGAGCCGCGTACTCCTCTTCCATCATGGCGCCAATGAGGGTCCGACAAAGGCGTCGCGAACGGAAAAAGGGTCTGGGAGAGATCTGCGGGTCGTCGGGCATCGTCGCGAGGGCCCGGGCGCGAGGGTACCACCCGCGTGTCGCGTCACCATAGGGTGGTACACCGGCGACCATACGACACGGGCAGCTCGAGGCGCGGGCGCGGCGGTGTAAAGTCGCCCGGCGGAGAAGAGGGCCACCGGTGGTGTAAGGCGTCACCAATGGAGAAGGGGACCCGGTGATGCCGGAGGCAAGCGCGGTGCCGCCGGATACACGGCCCGGGTAGGCGATGCGGCTGGGCGAACGCAGCAGGTGCGACAGCGGCGTCCCCGACCAGCTGCGATGTAAAGGAGAGGAGCGACTCGGGCGGCGCGCCTCGGACCCGGCAGCCTTGAGGCCGGGGCGTCACCGGTGGGTGGCGGCGGGGGCACGGGCCCTTCACGGGAAGCAAGCATACAGAGAGACAATGATAAAAGTGGCCGGACCACCGTGTCGATGGGGAAACAGAGAGAAGGGGTCCGGATCGGGGGTGGGAGATGGTGTGTTGGTGGTGGAGAAGGGGAAGACAGACTCATCAAACACCACATGGCGAGAGATGATGACCCGACGGGAGGTGAGGTCAAAGCACCGTACCCCTTGTGATCCGGGGAGTACCCAAGGAAGACACACAGAGCGGAAGGGGAGCCAGCTTGGGGGGAGCGGTGGCGATGGTGTTAGGGTAACACGCACACCAAGACACGAAGGTGGTCATCTGGAGGAGGGTACCAAGAGGCGTGGTGTGGTGTGGGAGCCGGGCGAGCAGCGGAAGGAAGGCGGTTAAGGAGATAGGTGGAGGTGTGCGACTCTCTCTGCCGAAAGCGGCGAGCAAGCGGCGCTGGAGGCGAAGGGTGCGCATGGTGTCGTTCGTGGTGCGAATCATGCGCTTCGGCCTTGCCGCTTCACGGGAGGAGGTATCTGGGCAAGACATGCGCAAATGGACACCGTGAGAGAGAAGAAGAAGCACGGAGGTGCCGTTATCGAACTCACGGCCATTGTCACACCGGGCCGGCCTTGATGGTGAGGCCGAATCGAGTAGACACCAGGCGAAAAAGTCGAGAAGAGTGGTGAAGGTATCCGACTTCGCACGCATAAAAGGAAAGTCCACGAATAATGCGAAAATCGTCAACCACCACAAGATAGTATTTATACCCAGAAATGCTGATGACAGGAGATGTCCATAGGTCGCAGTGTACAAGATCAAACGCATGCGTAGCATGTGAAGAAGAACAAAAAGGGAGACGAACATGACGGCCCAGCTGGCACGCATGACACAAGTGCTCATCGTGAGCCCGAGTACAACCA